GCCCGCCCTTTTCTTCATTCAGTTTCGCTTGCAGGGCTGCACAGCAACAACAGTAATCCATAACATTGTATAGCAAAACTATAATAGTTACTAAAATTGTATGTTGGTTATAACTTATTTACATTGTACTAGTGTTTTTGGACATTAACACAAAGCAATAAATTACTTCTACACAAGGAAAAAATTAGGGTCTAATTACAATACTTCTTGTATGCATGCCAACACTTATTAGCAAAATGAACAATACCTTTTAATATTGTATCCAATGTTCCTGATGCATGCAAAAATTCAATAAAAGGAGTATAGTTAGATATTAGGATACTGCTTACTTTTAGCTTATTGTATTCGGGACATAGCTAGTTATCTAAAAGCCTTATGAAAATCATATAACTGGAAAACTCACCCTTAACGATTTCTAAGTTTGCTTCCTGTTTAGAGAGTAACTGCGAGCGCTGAGTATCCTGGTGCGCGCGAAGTTCCTGCTGGTAGAGATGCTGGGAGGCACGCAGTTCATGGGTTAACGAAGCACACTCCTTTTCAAGAGAGGACACACGCTCTGACAACTGTCGATTGTCGGTCATTATCTGTCCCATTCTTGTCGAACATCTCTCCAGCTCACCATGCGCAGCATTCAGTCTGCTGTTAGCTTCGGTAACTGCTGCATCTGAGCGTTGTTTAGCTGCCTTCATAGACGCGAGTTCTTCGGACAAAGCGCTTCTTTCTCTCTCCAGCGTGTCACGTTGCGCACGCAAGTTGGCCATCGTACCGTCGCTGACGGCTGCTGAGGCGGCCTGTGCGGCGCTGAGCTCCGCGGCTTGTTTACGAGCTTTAGTAGCAGCCTCTGTCTCCAATTTTAATTTCTCACGCATCTCCCCCATCTGCTTTTCAAGGATGTTGATTTTATCATTATAAGATTGCAAGTTGTTCATCTCCTTAACTCTTTTGCTTTGTTCCTCATCAAAACGACGTTTAATATCATTGTAATTGAATTCGGCTTTCCGTCTAGCATCTGACTCCGCCTCGGCCTTTCTCTGGATGTCTTTCAAGTCGTGCCTAAGAAGAGCTAATTCCTTGTCAGTATCAGCTATGATCTTTTTATTTCTTGATTCCCTCTGCGCCAATTCTTCTAATTGAGCGCAAAGCATAACTTGTCTATCCTCCAAGTTTCGCCTGGAGTCTCTTTCTCTATCCAAAAGTTTTTCTAATTGCAGAATTGCCTCAGATCCAACATTGTTCAAATGATTATTTGCAATAGTATCTACTACATCAGTTTGTTTTCTTTTCCCACCACTTCGACAAAGCTGAAAATCACCATTGTAAGTAAATCCTACAAATGGTAAGTGATTACCAACAAAAGCTTTTGGTATAGGAAAAGATTCATCAAGGGCATCAGATTTTTCGATGTCATCAAAATTCCGAGTATCATCGTCACTTGAAAGTTCTGGGACAACTGGTGGCACAGAATCTCTTAAATTCTCGAAACTCCATTGGTCGTTTATAAAGAATGGATGCTGTTTAATTTCATCAACACTATTCTTCCCCAATCTTCTAGTTCTGTCTGTTAGCAATCCTCTAATGAGTGATTTCGCGTCTTTCGAAATTTCTACATCATCAGGGAATTGTAAAGAGTTCCGATGATCCATAATTTTTCCATACGTACCTACTAAACTATCGGCATAAAATGGGGGATCACCTATTAACATTTCATATAAAAATATTCCAACAGCCCACCAATCACACTCGCGCCCATAAACTCCTTCACCATTCTGAGACTGTAAAACTTCAGGTGAAATATAATCAGGAGTACCTACAGCATTACTAGCTCGCACCAATCCATCATGACCCATCCGCATGCAAGTACCAAAATCTGCTAACTTTAGATGGCCATATTTATCAATTAACATATTGTCAGGTTTTACATCTCTGTGTACAAAACCCATACCATGAATTACATCTAAAGCCAGAACTATTTCCATTGTGTAGAACTTTGCCCACTTCTCTGGTATATCAAAATTAGACATTAAACTAACAAGATCACCACCGGGCATGTAATCCATCACCATATATAAATATTTTTGATCTTGGAACGCAAAATGAAGCTTGAGGATCCACTCTGAATTAGCATGCGCCATTATATGTCTCTCCTCCCAAAAAAATGTGGAATCCGACCTCTTAATCATTTCCACTTTACTCAGAAGTTTCATAGCATAAACTTGCCGGGTGGACTTTTGTCTGACTAGCTGAACTTCACCGAATGCTCCCCGACCTATCACCTTTATCAAATCAAAGTCGGCTGCTTTCATACGCAGGTTAACTATGTCTGATGCAAACTCTTCATCTAAAACAAACAAAGTAACAAATGTAAAATCAGCATTTTCAAACCAGTTTTCATGTTACAAACAATGGCAGTTAATAAATTTAAAACTAATTGTAAAAAGTGAAAATTTACATTGTATAGTGTATGAGGCTTATTTGGGGTGCTAAGAGTAGCCACTGTTGTAGTTAATTTTGTCGGAAACACCTGCAGTGCTTAGTAACTTAAAAGAAAATACATGACAAGACAACTTTATTTCAACTAGGAAAATGTTACACTTATTCAATATTGACATGGAGGTACTAGTAAGTTACATAATTTAGTTTACTTCTGCCTATCGGGCTAAATGACTTTGTTGTTGTTTAAAAATAAAAGATCTATTAAGGATCTATAATAAATAATAGAAATGACACTGGATAATAGACATTATACTAATAGAAGCAAATATTCAATACAGCAATGCTGTTTATTAACAACTAGATATATAAATCTATAGTTACAAACACATAAAAGATATGTGAAAGAGTGAACATATTTCAACTGGTTAGAAATTAATAAACAAGCATACATATGTACATAACAAATGCATTATTTAATTACGAGGTCAATGGTCATATGTACTACATAGATAACAAGTCCGATTTGTACCTTTAATGACTGCTTCTCATTAGTACAAATAATCAGTAATAATGTTAAAACAAATAATTTCTACAGATAATAGATAAGAAACAAATTCAAATATATTTAATGTAAAAAAACTATGATAAGATTGCACTCAACATATTCATTTACAAAAAAAAAAGAAGAAAAATCAAGATACAATAACCATGAATTGAAACTTTAAAATATTGGCATCCAATATTTCTGAGTGCAGTTTACAGTATTGACAACCCAACATGTTAAAAAGATATAACAGCATTCAGTTTGTTATGGCATGTTTCAATCATCACCAACAGTCATACATCCCCACTGAGGAGCCATTAGCCATAGTCGGAGTCTTCCCTAAAGTGATTAGACCATATTCAGCGATGCTAGGACACTGCAGGTTGACTTCACAAATCATTGAAACAGATTGAATGTTTCAATGCTGATATCAAAACTCTAATTTGGAAGTAACAAGTTTAATTAACGTTATCTCATGATGAAAAACATGTTTGTTTTGTGTTTGCATGTTTTTATGTCTATAAACATATAATAGTACCCATGGAATATGTAATAGTTGATATTCTTTCAACTTTGCTGACGAAAATTAATGAAATGTCACTATTAAAACTAGATATATCCACTTATAGATCAATTTTAATGCATCAAAATGTAAAAATCTTTAATCAGTTACATACTTATTGAAATACAATAAAAGAGATAAGATTATTCTTAAGAAAGAACTAAATATCTTGCATTATCATAGCTTACAAGTATGTATGCATTCAATTATGATGATGCATGTGTTGGAAAAAATATCTTTCTTGTGAAATTGTACCATGGATTTAATAGGTTTTTACAAATCTTAGAGAGTTTCATCAATTTGCGTCTCCTACTTACATCTACTGGTGTATGCCTCGACATTTTTCATGCGTCGGATAGCTGGATGATCGCAGTCGGCGACGAGTGCGGTCACTGTGTCCAGTAAGCTGTCCACGTTGCCGGTGGACTGGGGGTCACATAGCAATTCCTCCAGCGCACACAGCCGCCGCCAACGCTCCTCATCCTTTACCGCTTCCATTCTCAATCCAATTTTTGATCTTCTCTGACACTAAACGCCACCACACATTCTCCTGATTAGCACCCCGATTGGAGACACCACTCTCATTACGATACATCAACAAGTAGTAATGTTTTATTAACCTACACTTTTGCAACGTTAATAGCCTAAAGTTAGACGGGTAACTTATGTTTCATTATCAAAAAAATTACTTGTTAAAGCTCAAAATGACAGGAGATAAAGGTGGTTCTCACAACAAAGCATATGCACGTTTGCAAACATAGTTGATTATGTGATACAATAACAATGATCCGTGAAGTGTTAATTTAACACTGTTGTAAAAACGATATAATTAAGGACACAACATTGATGGATAATGTTAAATACTGCTAAATTATAAACCGCTTGATTGACGAACGATGATCGAACAATAACGTGAAGATAGGAACATATTGCAAGTTACTGGAAGTGGAGTGGAGGTGGAGGATTTTGCACTTATACCTTATACAATGGCGTTTTAAAACTATATTTCGATGTCCATGGTTGTCATTAAGTTCATAGATTTTGTTTAACTTTTAAAATACAGATCAAAAATTGAAGTTTGGTCAAGAGTATCAAAGTGTTTCACGAATAACTAAATTAGGGTAAGCATTATCTAATTTGTTCTACGTCTTTTAACAAAAATGTTGGTAAATTTTCATAATTTCATAATTTCCCTTTGCCACCTTGTTAAATCAGATATGAGTTACAAATGTTAACGTTTGTATAATTATGTTTAGAAACTATAATTAATAAATTGATTTATTTTAAAGTTGTAGGTTATCGTCAAGTTATTGTTTTGTAAATCTTTTTCTGCAAATGACAACAGATTATACATCAATTTTTAAAAGTTGTTAAAGTATTATATACTCTGTGATTTGAATGAAATGCTCCTTGCTCTTTCAGATTAGAGATTTTTGTCTATGAATGAGCCAGAATGAGCAAATTTAATTCTCATTCTTATTCGTTCAGATAGAACATGGCGGTGCTAGACAGGATGTGCATAAGCTCTTAAATTTTTGCGTTAGCAAATAGCAATATTTGGTGGGTTCCTACATTTAACTGAGAGATTCATTAAGTGTCTTTTGAATTGTTAAAAAAAGTGCGAATCAAAATATTTAATTTATTTTCGTCTTTATGGACCAATTTGCAATGAAAATCATTACTTCATTGGTGGTGTAAAAATAATTGTGACAAATATAGCACATTATTTCAGGTAAATTTGTTGTTTCAATAACTACTATTAATACCTAAACACTGTCTATCCCTTTACTATTTTATAACAACATTCACAAAGTATTGGCTAGGCCTGATCTCCACTTACGTTTCATTTTATCCAAGTGTTCTCGTGTTATTTTCGTGGTAAATTCGGATATCCCATAATTTATTTCACGTTTTATTTAATTATTACATTCGTTGTTTGTTCAGGTATATATGTATATCTAATCTATCCTAGCACAAGGAGCAATTCCTTTGTGCTTTTCAATCACGTGTGGATTGATCGTTATTGTGGGGTCAATAACTGCTCGCTACAACCTATTTCAGTATTAATCACACAATAGAGGTCGAAAGGGTGGATCTGTCTTAAATGAGCTTCCGCTGATTTTAGCCTGTTTTAGGTTGTTGATATTCTAACGACTGATTGTATCAAGGAAGTTTCGGATTGCGTTTTACATTCAACCGTCGTATTTGTTAGTTCATATCATCATTAAGTTAATGAATGACATGTGGAGGTTTAACGAAATTATAATCTTTCCTGGGATTGGGGCTGAAGCATTGGGGTTTGGGGCGCTGCGTGCACGAGCGCGACAGTAGCGACAGATGGTGGGGGGCGGAGCGACGGCCAGTCAGCTGTGCGAGTGTCAAGTTGTCGCTCCGCGCCGCACCGCGCCGCGTCGCGTCGTGGGAAGTGGCCTAAATTATTGCCCCTCCATTGAATCTTCGCGAAATTTGGCTCTATGGAGAGTAATGACCTAGATTTTAGAACCATTGCAGATTTTTAGTTACTGCTGTTGCCAAACTAACCAGTAACAATGACATTTCTATTACTTTTTTATCAAAAGTCTTATAGTCTTTTGTTCTTACTTTAATGTCATTTGATCTTAACACAGCCATCACAATATTTTGACAGTAATCTAGGTTTTATCCCTGAGTGTTGTTACAGATTATTTATTAAATAAAAAGGATATATTTTCCATGCTACATTTGTAACTAGAATGCTGTAAAGTGGTGTAACCTGAATCAATGGTAGGTAAACCTTCATTTTGTTCTTTTCTGTGTTTTTAGATAATAGTAATAAAGTACTTTGAGGTTATTGTTACATTTGTTAGTATTTCCCCGTGTAAAGTGAAATGAAAAAGTTTTAGTAGAATAATCATATTTTGTAAGAGGCTATAAGACATATTTTCAATCATTGCTTTAAAAACGCTATAATGATATTAAATTTTAAATGATTTCCATCGCTAGTAAAATATTATTTTAAGTAGACTTACAATTTTCCTAAATGTGTAATAACAATTTTGAACATTCATAGTGTGGTATATTTTTAGTTAGAGTGAATATTTTATGAAAAATTTCATGTGAAATGTGTAAGGTTATATAAGAAGTGAAGTCACATTAAACATTTCATTGTGAGTTATGTTTGGCATTTGCCATTGTTGTGTAATCAACAGTTTTCAATAAAGTTCCCTTTATGGCCGCAGCCAACTGCACTGATAACCACACATGGTTTAATCACTGTTTGATTAAGGCATGAATCATTTCTTCTTGAAACAGTTTTGAGTGTACAAGTTTTTGTAAATTCTAAAGCATCTATTTAATGTTACATATGACATTCTAAAATATGTCTACATAATAATATCCATGTTTAATATTTTTCTTGCACTATTTGATTTTTTTATCGTATGTAGCATGTAGATGTGTTTAAGAATAATGAGTTCATGACCGAGAGACAGGGTAATGTCTTTTGCTATGTAAGTTTGTTATTATGTTTTGTAAATTTATGACATTATGACACACTACAGCTACACAACTGAAGCAATTTTAACAAATGGTATTAATTGATTAATCTTCTATTCCTGGACTGATATAATCTTGTAAAATTGGTATCTTGGTTTACCAATTGTTTAGTCATAAATTTCTAAACAAATTTTTTTTTTAGTAAAATGGAATGTTGCACATGTATCATTTTTATGGATTGGGTTTTTATATATCTTGTCATTCTAAAAAAAATTCTAAATATTTTTCTGTAGGTTAAAAATTGAGTCTTATTATCAAGATTAGAAATCTCATTGAGTCCTTGTTCGGGTTATCTTAACTTTATCAATATTTCTATTGACACACAAAATCTGTGTACCTTCTGTGATGGATATTACTGTTTTTTCATAGTTTTTTTGTATCTAACTTCAAGATTATACATAGTATGTAGATGATTAAAGTTTGTAATAAATAACAACCCACTACAATATTACTTGTTATATACTTAAGTCAATTATTTAATATATTTAACCATATCCAAATAAGACAGGATGTTCCCTGTTCAACATTTTTGTTAAAACAATAAAAATCTCTTATATCTTCTGTATGTAAAGTAGGATATGTGTGATATATGATATTCTTATCTAAATATTTGTACTATTTCAGCAAGCCGTGGGGGACATGGCTACGCTTATCCAAGAAAACGGTATCAAGGAGCTGAGCAAAGGCACTCACGGGGTAGTGACAAACCATGGCATATCAGCTCACAGTGTCGCCAGCCACATGGTGCCCGACCATGAGTACTGTGAAACAGCAAAGCCCCAGGAGCCTCAGCAGCCTTGCGTCACCTCCGGCGAGGACGTGCCGATGGAGGCCACGGCCGAAGACGAGGAGGAAACTCCGGAAATAGACATCTTGATAAACAATGTTGTGTGCAGTTTTAGTGTTAAGTGCCACCTGAATTTGAGACAGATCGCATTGAACGGTGTTAACGTAGAATTTCGCCGCGAGAACGGAATGGTGACGATGAAGCTGAGACGGCCGTATACGACGGCATCTATATGGTCGTCGGGGCGGGTGACGTGCACCGGCGCGACCAGTGAAGACCAGGCCAAGGTGGCGGCGCGCCGGTATGCGCGCGCGCTGCAGAAGCTCGGCTTCCAAGTCCGTTTCCAGAACTTCCGTGTGGTGAACGTCCTGGGTACATGCCGCATGCCCTTCGGCATACGAATCATATCCTTCTCTAAGAAATACAAGGAAGCAGAGTGAGTATGACATACATTTTATCACAACGATATACCTACTAATATACATAGATATAAAAACGTAATCAATGTTTACAGTATAACGTTATAATTTGTGATATCATCAAAGTATGTAGCAGTGAATGACACTTAGAAATTAAGCAATATAAAATAGATTAATATTTTTTAAAGATATCTGCCATATAAAGTTCATTTACCTCATAAATATCTACTCTTAACTTGTTTTATATTGTTGTCCCTGGAGAAATAAGTTTGCTACATTTTTGTGCAATGGTACTTTTTTTTTGCATACAATTATCATATAAGTCCCAACTCCTGATATACGTAGTGTGGTGTTGAATGTAAAATCTTAATTATTTGTCTATCAAATGTAACTGCAATTTGAGATTGTCGAGCATAACTTCCGTCAGTTAAATTATGATTTGTATGAAAATTATTAAAATTTCGTATAACTATAATACTTGACTGTTCAGTCAATAGAAGATGCTATACATGTTACGTAAGGGAGTATAAAGTCGGCCGTCGCGACGCCACACCGTCTATGATCGCGGTCGCAGCCTCTTTTTACTATTTTATTATACGCGATCCAATCTTATACAATTGGATTTCTATTTTCGTATACATTTGCGATTTATTGATTCAATAAATATCATAGTTAACGTAATGTTTGAGGCAAGCTTTAGATCAGAAATTCGAATATATTGCAGTTACTAAAGAAACATTTAGATGTTTGTTACTATTTATCTCAAGAATGGCTTCTTCGGCAACAGATCTTGATTAACTTTGGCGCCTGTAGATCATAGTCTGGAAGAACACATAGGCTAAGTTTTATTTAAATTCGCGCTGAAGTTGCGGGCACAAGCTAGTACTTACTTATATTATAAATGCGAAAGTTTACATGGATGGATGTTTGTTAGAGTTTATAGCCTAAACGGCTGAACGGATTTCGATCAAATTTAGTATAGATGTAGATGATAGTATGGAAGAACAGGCTACTCACTTTTTTTTAATTTTACGTGGACGGAGGCAAAGGCTAGTATAAAATATTTTTAACGTTTAATTATCTTACCTCTGGCATAACACATTTTTGTATTATCTCGTAAAACATGTTTGATGTGATCTTTTCCGTAGTGCGAATAATTTGCTTAAAAGTGACTATTAACCAGTACCCAATAATTAAATGAGGTCGTTGACATAGCTAATTTGTCTTTTTCTCTGTTCTTATGTAGACAATATATTAACATGACAATATTACATTATAGTGATAATAAATAGCACATGATATTTTGGACATCAGCCTCTAACTGGGTTACTCACAGTCATCATTCTACCCTTCTCCCTATGAAGGGCCCGCACGGAGCTGTCATCTGTATTCACGTTCTTCGTAAGACCTTTACGTGCTTACTTCAAACTAATATTATAAATGCAAAAGTTTAGATGGGTGTATGGATGGACGCTAAAGTTTGTACCCCAAATGGCTGAGCGGATTTTGATGAAATTTGGTATAGATGTAGATGATATTCCGGAAGTACACATAGGTTACTCGCTTATGTCTTTTTAATTCCACGCGGGTGGAAGCTAGTTATTTTTTTTTTATAACATAAAGTGGCAAACGAGCAAGCGGCCACCTGAATCCGCCAAAATGGCGAAGCAATCGCTGCCCATAGACATCCGCAATTGCAGATGCGTTGCCTGCCCTTATCCGACGGAGGAGACGCACATAAAGTGGATATTTCCCCTTCCTATACATCTCCTCCACCGTCAAATCCACTTCCCCTTCCCATCCTCTTCTTAAAAGAAAAGGGTGGTAAAGAGAAAGGGACTAAAATTAGGCCTCCGGCACCACACTCATCAGACGAAACACGGAATTGGTTCCATTTCACGCCTGTTTTCTGTGTGGTCGTGGTATTACACCGGGCGCGCCGGCCTATTCGTGCTAAGATGTTAAAGCGGGCACTACCACTGCGTTTCCTATAAACGTCAAATAATGTAATGTTCTCTTTACTCTTGAAAAAAATTAAGGACAACTTGGCGTCTTATTTGGCATGAAGCATTTTTAAAGTTGGCAGTTGACTTAATTCTTTTCATAATTGTACTTTTATAATAAGGGTTTATTTTTTATATGATGTTATTTATTAGGGTCTATAGACAATAGTTACACGGATATAACTAGTTTATATCGACAAAAAATCTTCAGACAAATGTTTCGAATTTAAAGGCACAGACATCTTTGTCAAAGAAAGTAGAATAACTGCCATAAATTCAAATTTATGGCTTGTCTCATTATTCATTTATATAACTTTTGCCTTTTGACTCTCCATTCATAAGTGAACGCTTGTCTATGCCGATAGACAGTTACAATAGTTACCTACTCGTTTCACTTGCTTGTTTAATATTTAACATTTGGTTACAAAACTAAAGGCCAAAACGTCTTCGATCCTCACTACTTACTATCTCTCCCGTATTGTCCAGTTAGGAAAAGAAAAGAACAATTTCATACAAAATATTATATCTATACTTAGGACCCACCAAATCGTAAATTGTCTGATAATAACCCATCGTGTATAAATATATATGATGGAAATATCGAATTTTGTTCCTTTATCTGACAGTGAAGTCATTTTTAAGCTATCTGAGCCTATCAGACAGTGGTGGGACAGGCCCATAATATTAAAAATAAGAAAGATTTGATTGTTTGAACTCTTTAACTATTGAACCGATTACAAAAAATCTTTTGTCATTAAAAAGCTACATTATCATCGAGTAAGCTATATCTTACATCAACGGGAAGGGTATGGATGTGATAGAAAATATATGATACTTATAGACTTTACAGGCGAAGCTGAGGTATGTCGCTAGTAAGAAAAAACCTCGATTGACTTAACCTCTGTTAAAGTTATCTCCTAAAAATACGAATCGAATGTTAGTCTTTTAGGTTATAAGTGGTAACAATATAACTGACATACATTCTCGTAACACCTCGTATTGTAAGTTGTTATTATCTTGTAGTAGGTAACTATGGGACTGACCTGTTTTAAGAAGCAAAGTTCGTGTTTAAAATAACCAAAAACACTCATTACTCGGAAAAAAAATTATCACTACATAGTATAAAATAAAGTCTCTTCCCGCTGTCTGTCTATATATGCTTAGATCTTTAAAACTACACAACGCATTTTAATGCAGTTTTTTTAATAGAATGATTCAATAGAAAGGTTTATTTATAAAATAATAGAAATGAGTAGCCTATGTGTTCTGCCATGTCTATATCAAATTTCATCGAAATCCGTTCAGCCGTTGAGGCTACAAACTCTAACAAATATCCATTCATCCATCTAAACTTTCGCATTTATGATAATAGTATGATCAATAATATAATAGGGAAATACAGATTATTTTAGAGGTTTCTAATGTGATGTAAACACATTTTCGTATCAGCATTGAACCTGTGTAGTCGCGGCGGGTGACTAGTCATACTTCATACTAATATTACAAATGCGAAAGTTTGGATGGATGGATAGATGTTTGTTAGAGTTTGTAGCCCAAACGGCTGAACAGATCTCGATGAAATTTGGTATAGACGTAGAGGATATCCTGGAAGAACACATAGGCTATTCACTTATGTTTTTTTTTTAATTCTACACGGACGCAGTCGCGGGCAAAAGCTATTATCAGAATAACATCAATCATATGCTAGCTGTGAACTTGTCACCTATGCGATGTTATCTGCCGTGAGTCATAAGACTGACCCTCAGATATACACAAGTATTGTTTGATATTGTGATTTCTTTTCGTGTGCGATTAGCTGCTAAATACAATGGCTGTACCTCGATAATCAAATGATTCGAAAGATATTCAATTGATTTCGTTCGTAGTTTGATATCACTCTTTACGGGTGTTACTGTCTGTTGAGGTCACAGGTAGAATTGTTAACGGTAATTACATCTTTTGTATATTAACGTTTGAATACGATGGATAGAATTTTAGACAGTTTTAGATTGATTTTCAGTGTTACTATCTACTTAATTATGGCACCTACGACATTAAAGAACGTAGGAAAATTTATGTAGACAAACTATTAATATAAAGTATTTTTTTATCTTAAATTGACCATGTGTTAGCTTCGACTTCTATAGCAATAGATTCTTTGTGTTTTTCAATAATTCAATCAGTCTTAATGTAGGTAAATAGTAATCGAACTATGCAACCGCGTTATTATGCATACTTCTGTTATTTTATCATTGTCACGTTTGTTTTTTTTTTTCGAGTCACAATTTTACGTTATAATTCTTTTTTTCGACGATATAAAAATAGCACGCTCTTATCGTTAGTCTAGTAAAAATTTTCCATAGTCGTTTCCCGAATGATTTTTCAAGGTAATGTCTGGCTTCTTTAAACTTTGATTAAATTCGGTAAAAGTTTGTTAGAAGGACTTTGAGATGCCATAGATTGTTAATTTAAGTTTGAGCAGTTGCCTGCTTTGCAGGATTTTAATGATTGTGTAACAGATTTTCGATTAAACAGCAAATTCGGCACAGGTTGTTCAAGATTTATTTAAAATATTATTAGGATAGAATAGTGTGTCGTTATCTTACTTCTTACTAATATTATAAATGTGAAAGTTTAGATGTATGGATGGATGTTTGTTAGAGTTTGTAGCCTAAACGGCTGTACGGATCTCGATGAAATTTGGCACACACGTAGAGGATAGCCTGGAAGAACATATAGGCAACTCGCTTTTGTTTTTTTTTATTCCACGCGAACAGAGTCGCGGGCGAAAGCTAGTGTAGTAATACATTCCATCCTAAACATCGTAATTAACGTGTACTAATAACAAAATCATGGTTTGGATGCGATTCTTAGATCAATCTGATTCTGTTTTTTATTGTTATTCCTGTGTATTGTTATCTTATACCCATTTTAAAGGGCTTAGAGTTTTAAACAAATATATGCTGTATATCAATAGTGCAATGTCTATCAAATATTTCGCGATACTTAGATTTGGCAATGCGTGGAATCCTCCAATATATCTGGCCATTAGAAAAGTTCAACAGCCAGACTGGTGCGTAGTTCGTAACTGATGACCGGCCAAGGTGCCCCGGCCCCGCGGTGCAGTGGCCCCACACAGTACCATTTCAAATGCATACGACGTATTTTTATCGACGGAACTCGTAGTGTTTGTTTTATAATCTACATCTGTATACTGACAATGTCATATAAATATAGGAAAGACGTTACGAGATAAAGAGGCGAGGGAGGGCAAGATTAAAACAAATATAAGAAAAAGATTAATAAAGAAACGGGATTTTCGTGTTAAAGTATGGAAGTAAAAGATAAGAAAGGTATGTCAAGGGCGTGTAGACTAGAATTTGATATACTCCTACATTTAATGACACTTTCGCAGTTATCTTTTATCCTAAAGATATCTCATATAGCGCAAGATTTCAGATTCCAGTGAATGTGTACTTGATGTTAAGATGTTTTTATATTAGCAATTTCCTTACTATAATCTCACAGTTAAATTTAATTAGTAAACGATAAGAAAGCTTTTTAAAATTAGTTGAAAATGTTACAATACTTTTATGACTCATAAAGAAGTATCAGGCGAGCGTATTTTTCAACCTTGCATTATCATTTATCCCGTAATGCGTCTTATTTCTCCTGACCCAATGACCGAGCTCGGACTATTTATAACTGACGTTAAATATTAACTCTTAATAGAAAGTGACTCAAACCCAGATAATCAATTTATAGTAGAAAATTATTTGAGACAGTAATTTTCGAAAAAGTGCATATTAAAGAGAAGAATTTCCTTCAAGAAGCGAGCCTACGATTTCCTCAAAGGCCCGCAACGCATCTGTAGTTCCTTTGGTGTTGCGGATGTCCATGGGCGTCGTTGACCACGTCGGTGTTCCCGCCCTTCTCTTTAAAAAAAAATAAAAGCCTGGTCAATATCTGGGTTGGGAAATAATTCTTTATCTTTGTACAATACGTGGGGAGTATGAAATAATAAAACTAGGTTAGATTCGTTATTCAATATAAGACCCCACACTCTGTGCGACGATGTACCGGTTAGACCAGAGGTGGCGAACCTTTATGCATCAAAGTGACATATTTTGAAGAAATGTTTAATGCGGTCGTAGACTTGTCATCAAATAATTTTGATTAATTATTACGTCAATTCCATAGTGCATTTATAGAGCCTTACAAATAAACGCGGTATAAAGTTAAACTTATGAATAAATTGAGTATAAGCAAAATTTATACTAATATTTGCTTTACTAACTTTACCTAAGTAAGGCTGGTAGTGTTTATATGCCATAATCATCGACATGCTCAAAATTTTGTGTCGTGTGCCATTAGTTTGCTACCCCTGGTTTAGATTATCAAATTGGACTAATCTAGCAATTTGACAGTCCAGTGCTAACTGATTTGACTGGTTTTAGACACTGACCTAGGATATTGTAATACCGACAATTTGCCTGTTATGTATATGAATTATTTTTATTGCTTTGCTGTTTAAGTAATTAAGACTGATAGATGCTGCTATGGTATCATACCATCTAGCTTTACACAGAGATGGAAAAAATAATTAAAAACTGCATATTTTATATGTTTTTTGTCTGATGGGTTTATATAGCGAAAAAAATCTATTCTTGGTTTGCTAATAAGGAAAATATTAGAGCATTATAGACGTTAATTTTTTCATAAGGCCGTAAGCGACTATCGTACTTTGTTCAAGGGCGAAAAAATTTTGTCTTAAGGTCCAATGAGGCACGATTTTGATTGTTATTTATAATGTTGGTACTAACTCTTACATACCATACTTGTAAAATTTTAGATAACTTAATAAACAAAACTCTGAATCTCAAAACTGTTCATGTACAAGTTTTGCATTCTTTTGTATTTATTCACCGTTATTTTTTACTAAACGATAAAAAACTGTTTATCATTTTAAATTCTTCCATTGATAAGTATTTCGGAACTGGTTTGCGTCCACTTTCTTCCATGTCCTAAAACGGTGGCATTTCTCTTTTCAGCTACGAGCCGGAGCTGCATCCGGGCGTTACGTACAAACTATACAACCCCAAAGCCACGTTGAAGATCTTCTCCACGGGAGGTGTCACGATAACAGGTTGGTTCTTTAATAGTTGAATCTAACTTGAACCGGTTAAATTCGGTTATATGTTAGTTAGATATTGGTTTTTATTTCCAGTGAATTTAAATCTGATTATCTTTCTTACTATTGTAAATTCGAAAGTTTAGATGGATGGATTTTTTTTAGAATTTGTAGCCTAAAAGGCTGAACGGATTTTGATGAAATTTGCGACAGATGTAGACGATAGTATGAACCAATACATAGAATACTCACATTTTTTTTATTAAGTCTTGGACAAAAGCTAGTAAGTTGAATAAACCCGATTATGTTGTATAAATATCTCACGAAACCCATAAAATGTATACGTATTTGTTTGAAAATAGCAAAAAACTTAGATGTGTTACGACATTTATAAGTGTCATATCCTGGATCCCGACACACGTTTCCGGGAGCGCAGTTGGCTGCTTCCGATCAAATTACGATTCTGTTAGATACAGCTGCGTAGGGATCCATGTTTAGTCAGCTGGATGAGATATAAAAAATGTATGCAACTCTAGAAATAATTGTGTGGGCGTAATGATATATTTTATTGCTTCATGATAAGTCGGATGATATTGTATTTATATGATGTATTTTTATAAAATTAAAATGAGAATAATTTTATTCTTGTGTTGCAAGAATATAAGAGCAATAGGTAATATTTGGCCTGTGATCAGTTTTTCACAAACAAAATTGGAGAGTAATCTATTTCGATACCCCAAAATAAATTCAGATACTTTGTGATATCACTGGTTCGCCATATTTGGATCATTGTACCGAAACTTGCAAAGGTCATCGCCGCCTCAGTAGTCTATCTGCCGATGAATCATCGCGGACAATTATCAAAATGCTATTGAGATTCATCTGCAAAACAGATTCTAAATAAAATATACAAAATATCCTGTCAATATTGCATCTTAAATATTTTAAGACAGGTTTACAACAGCGGTTATAATAACCCTAATGAACGAGTTTATGGACAATTTTACTTTTGATTTAAATCAGTAACAAGCGCAGAATACAACTTTAGGTTTACTGTGTAAAGGCATGTGTGAGAAGATGCTAGGCGTTTAGATGACCTTGAACTGCAAAATTGATCGATACTGTCTATACAAGCCTATTTAGAAAATAAAATTGTGTCGTTGAACTGTATATTTTATGTGAATTGAATGAGTTTGTTGTATATCCGCAGCCCGGAGTGTGAGCGATGTGCAGTCGGCGGTGGAGCGCATCTTCCCACTGGTGTATGAGTTCCGCAAGCTGCGCACGCCCGCGGACGAGGAGCTGCTGCGGCAGCGGCGCGCGCGCCACGCCCCGCCCGCGCCCGCGCACCCCGCCCCGCCCGCCACAGACCTGCGCCTGGTGACGCTCTCCGACGACGAGGAGAACGCGCCGCACGCACGCGGACAAGCGGACGCCTGGGAATGACGACGCCGACGCGCGACCGCGTCTCCATCGTCGGCGAACTATCCAGTTCATGCCAAAGATATTTATTAGAGGTGCTTCGCGCTTCCGATCGACGAGTTATCCTGTGCGGCCGCGGCCCCGCCCCCCGAACCACGCCCACGCAAAGCCGAAGTGCTCGCTCTGGAAACGTCTACCGATTCAGGTTTCTTAAACCCACCGAATTGAATTCGGCTCGCAGATCTTTATTAGGAAATCGTTACCTTAGGATATTTTACTTTTGACAATAAATCGCGAACTCCGCGACTGGAATGTTTGTGTGAGAATTTGACGTCGAGTGTGCGTAGAGCGGCACGTTTCCGCGGCGGGCGGGGCGCGGGCGGGGCACGGGCGGGGCGCGGCCGAGGCTCCGTTATTCAATGTATAACGTCTGTTGAGAGCTGTTCTCCGATACTGATACTCAATTCGTATTCATTTTTGCCGTTCGTTGCAGTTATGATTGAAATTGTAGTGATAATAGTGTTCACGATAAGTCTCGTTCTAAGAAAGTGATGACCGAATGATTAGTTAGTCCTTAGTGATTGTAAATAAAGCTTAGACATTATAAATTTGAATAAAAATACTTTTGTTTTATTATCCTTTTATTACAAAGAAAGAATATAAAATTACCTGACATAGTTAGAAACAGTTTGAGGGTTTAATTATGAGGTTATTCAAATGTATGTCCATTTTATAAATTCTGACACAAAATCATCTACACTACACAAAAAATGGAATGGCACAATTTTTTATTTATAAAACACAGTACACAGTACAATAATGAATAGCTTTTCTTGTAAAAACAGTTCACTGGTTTTCCTTGATGTATTGCTATGAGTCCGACTCGTGCGTGTCGTACTCGTCGCTGGTGTGCGCGTGCCGAGTGCGCGCGGGGCGCGGCGCGCGGCGGGCGGGCAGCGCGCGAGCGGCGCGGCGCGGGCGCGGCGGCGACGCGGCCGAGCGGATGTTCGCGCACATGTCCACCACGGACAGGCGCGGTGTACGCACCGCTGTGCCTGACGGGAAAGTCATAGTTTTACTGTGATTTAGCTGAAGTTAAACTCATCAAATCATAATTTAATTTTCGCATAAACCTTAGTAAACCGATTTCGAAATTAAATCGATTAAGGGGCCATCGTTTTGAACTTCATATACTAACTATGGCAATCAAATCCATGGTTTGTATCAAATACTTATTAATATCTAAAACATTGAATATAAATCTAAAAACCAGTAATAATAGGTAGCACGTTGTCATCAAGGGGGCGCTGCGGACGCGATCGCAGCACGGAATGCCGTGCGGTGCGCGGAGGCAACGCGCGGGGCGCAGGCGACGTCTGCGGCAGCGGAGGCGACAGCACGCGCGCCGCCAGCCCCCGCCGCTCGGGGGACCAACTAATTGATCTACAAAGACATTATAAATATCATTATAATATTATCATTATAAAAATCATAACAGGAACAATCGAATTTCTTTCAATCACGTACATAAATATATTTGATGCCATTTCGGTACAAGATAGATTTACCTCTCCCGTTCATAGTGCGCACGCCTGCGCTTGCGTCGGCTGCGAGTCTCGCGACGCTTGCTGGGCGCGCCAACCCGCGGCGGCACCACTCCTACGTGGCGGTAGTAGTCGCACAGAGCTTTCACCACGCCTCGGCCTATTCTTGCATCTTTATTTCAATTAAAGAAATTACATGATTTCAATTGGTTACTAAGTCTATTTACTATAAATAGGGCTCTAATAACGCTGCCACTATTTGTCACAAATGTACCTAACCATCATTGACGCTTCTTAGTTTCCCATGCATAGCGGTTGATTCTAAAACCTGGTTTAATTTTATTTAACCTGAATACAAAGGATACAAGCATCTTCAGTGTAGTGTATGTATGGTCCAGTGGGGCTGAGCCGGCGGCCCGCCAGCGAGGCGGCGAGGGTGTATCCATCGACGCCGGGCGGCGGCAGCGCGCGGCGCGCACTCCCAGCGAGCGCGGGCTCCGCGTTGTACACGCATTGCTCCTGCCGCCACGCCTCCAGACGCAGTGATAGGAACTTAGGCAGCACTGCATGACGCTCGAATCTTAAACCACAGATAAAAAAATATTGAAAACAGTGTTTATCAAAAAGCATTCTGAAACTAAATACCTATATGTTAAGCACACACTTTGTTATATAAAAAAAATATTTAGAAGAGAATGGTACCTGTACACGTCATCATAAGAGTTGCCTCGTACGAAAACGCCTTCATGGCTGATGTCCGAGTGGATGTCGATGATGAAATCTAACTGAAGTTTCTGTACATAAAATAGTAATTCAGCAACGGAGTAAAATCTTAATATTAATACAAATGCGCTTAGATGGATGGATGGATGTTTGCTAGAGTTTATAGCCTAAACGGCTGAACAGATCTCGATTAAATTTGGCATAGTAGGATAGTCTGGAAGAACACATAGGATATTTAGTTTTGCTTTTTTTTATTCCACGGAAGGAGTCGCGAGTGAAAGGTAGTAAAATCATAACTTAAAAAGGAATAATTTCTTTTCACAATTACCTTTTCACTGGTAATCTTTTTTATATGTTCTTTGACTGCGATGAGTGGTGGGTGTGCGAAGGTGGTAGCTCGGTGCCAGCTGCGGTTAGGGTCAGAGCCGAGAAGGTCGGCACGCTGGCTGCCCAGGAACACACCATCGGGATTCAACATGGGCACCACCTGCGTACACAGAAACGGCTTTAACCGTTGCACCACTGAAGTAGATCTTTTTGTCCAGAGCATGAAAGAACTCAATACCTGTATCACTATATGATCTCTTAGTGCAGATGCGTTTTCTGCAGAACTAATGAGGTAATCCAGCAAACCTGAAAAGGAGAAAATAGACAGTCGACGATAAGATACTGACTGACCAAAAAAGACTAATTTGACGCAAGATTAAATTGACAAAAGAATTATAACTAATTACTATATATGGTACAAAGATTTACTACTGACATACTGATTAACGCTGTCACTTAAGTAAAAAATACTTGGAGCAAGTGTATGCAAATTTAATTACCCTGGCAGATGTATGAAGCGGGTGGTTCTCCGCCGTGCGCTCGGGCAATCACAAGCACCACTCGTTTCTTATTCTCATTGCCCTTTATTTTCGTTAAATTTTCGTCCTTATATTCTGGTTCCTTCAGATTTAAATCGCCAATCGTGATTAGATCAATTTGTCGTTTTTGCTTAAATAAAAGACAAACTTTAATAATGAAACATACAAGATTATTTAAAAAAACAGAGTTTTTCTTTGGCTAGGATTGATATTGATGTATTATATATTTTAACACAAAAAGTCGCTAATAGCTAATAGATGCGTTGAACTTCGCTAGCGTTAATTTGTTTAGAAATTCCAATTGATTTTCTTCCAAGTTGTTACCGTTGATTGTGCGATTGTTTCCCTTGTAGCGAAGTTTTCTGCTCTTTTCTGCCACGTGGCTAAATATTTCTGCAATCTTGAGTAAGAGTACGGCGCTGCAGCAGCGAATTGGTATACGTCTTCTTCACGATCGAATCCAAACGCCAGGCTCAAGATCTTGCGACCTCGATGTACTAGCGACTTGTGATAGAAGATAAGACGTCTTGGTATACGCTGCCTGGGGATAATAATAAAAGATTTTGATTAATTGTCGTCACATAGAGTAGTTTAAGAGCGTGCGCATACCTGAAGGTATGAAGGAAGGAGGTGCGCACACTACTCGTTTTTAGTTGTGCAACTAAACAGTTGAATTGGATGCAAAACAATCGACACTTGCAAATAGTTAAGTCAAAAGTGTGCTCTTATGGTTAACTAAATAGTTGAGTCGTGTAGATTTCTCATAAGTATACTATTAGGGTAGACATTAAAACACAAGCAACAAGAGTGTCCGAACTCACCATTTTTGCCGTGAAGTTGATCTAACCAGTGGTGTCATATCTTTATCGTACAACGTAAATTCTTTTCCAAAATTAACAATATTAAAGATGACTCTCTGAAAATGATTACACATTTATACAACGCTCACAAAATGTAAAAAGAAATAAAAACTTCATGTCCATAATTTCGGTTTTTTTTGTAACATAAGGTGACAAACGAGCAAGCGGCCACCTAAATCCGCCAAAATAGTGAAGCGACCGCTGCCCATAGACATCGGAAGTTGCAGATGTGTTACCTACCCTTATCCGACGGAGGAGGAGACGCACATAAAGAGGATATTTCCCTTCCTATGCATATCCTCCACCGTCAAATCCATTTCCTCTTCCCATCTTCTTATAAGAAAAGGGTGGTAAAGAGAAAGGGTCTAAAATTAGGCCTCCGGCATCACACTCATCAGACAAAACACGGAATTGGTTCCACTTCACGCCTGTCTTCTGTATGGTCGTGGTATTACACCGGGCGTGCCGGCCTATTCGTGCTAAGATGTTAAAGCGGGCACTACCACTGATACCTCATACTTCACTAATGTCTACAAATACCTGGTCCTGTTTAACGTTTTCCACGGTAAAGTTGAACCAGAACCTGGCTCTCGGTCTGCAGGTGTCCGGTCTGATGTATAGATCGTACTCTAGCTCTGTGATGTGGTCCGCTCTGCCCAAGTTGCCGCACTCGAATGCCGCGTCAAAGCACAGGTGACCACGCTTCGCTTTTCCGCTGTGTCCTGGCGGACGGACAATCAGGCGGTTCAGATTACCAAGACCGCCTTCTCCATCACTCTCTTCACTATCTAAATAAAAAGAACACACTTAAACAACAATTATGTGTTTTGATTTTTTAAAGTGTATACAGGATGTTTTAAACAGCGAATCGCAGCGTGAGCCAGGTAAACTCCATGGGTTACACAGATGTACTATCGTATCCCGTTATCACGGGAAATAAAGTTGAGGGTTTACTTGAAGAGGAGATGTTTCACCGAAATCAGTACAATTTTCATTGCAATTTAAGACAAATAGGTTAGGAATCTTTATTTTAAAATAGAGTATTTAAGGTTAGTTGTGTGGTGCTTGATTTACTAATATAAAAAATTTAGTACAGTCTGGGTTCCGTTTGTATATGGTTGTATGATCCAGGTCGTCAACCAAGGCTTCCATATTTCCGACTGATGCGGAAGGCGCGAGACTCAAGTTTTAAAATCAGCGTATGCAATATCGAGTAGATTGGCCGATAAACGATAAGTGCAGTGGCGTTACCTCAGGGAAATCGTTTACACAACACGCCATCCGTTCGTTTATTTTATATTCACTCAATTGAAAGTTAAAACAAATTGCTTATACACAAAATACTATGTTTATATTTTACTACCTTACGCCCGCTACTCCGTCCAAATGGCATTAAAGAAAACAAAAATGCGTAGACTAAGTGTGCTTCCAGACTATCATTTACGTCTATGCCAAATCTCATCGAGATCCGTTCAGCCGATTAGGCTACAAAATCTAACAAACATCCATCCATCTAAACTTTCGCATTTATAATATTAATAAGATTACGTATTAAACGGCTTGGATACAAGCATTAAAATAAAACTTTGAACCTCAAATGTGCGTTATTTAATTTATTTTGCTGTAGACACTTTTTAAGTGTAGATTTGAATACATCCACTAAATAGCGATATGAGATAGAAGATCTTTCTAACCCACCTCATAACTTCTATAAAGCTCCTTGCGTGAATAAAAACCATTGATAGTGTTGTGATTGAAGCGTGGTAACTTGGAAATCTATTTTCACTTTGATATCCGATTGAAACAACTTCAATACCATAAGTCATTGCAAATCGTTATACGTTTGGATCCTTCCGAATTGCACGTGCAAATCGAAAAAAATCGGTTCACAATAGTCTGTGGTTGGTTATATTAATTTTATAGTTTATAGGTAGTACCGGTTGCTCTGGTTATTTTGAGTATCATATACTAACATATTTTATTGAAACGCTAGATGTTGCTCGCGCTTCGTCCGCGTGAAAAAAAAATAATAAAAAATATGTTACATACAGATAAATTACCTTTGTAACGGTGAAAGAGTTTTTAAAATCGTCCCAGTAGTTTTTCAATTATTTCAATACATACAAAAAAACAAATCTTTCCTCTTTATAATATTATTATAGATTTGCGTTGATTGACTAAACGTTTGAGTGCAAAACATTTATCTAAATGTAATAATTACATTTGTAACAATGTCATAAATGTACTATTACTATTTGAATAAAATAACTAGTTTTAAATCTCATACGTTGATTATATAGAGTGCTGGATGCGTCAAGCCGCGTGCGGTTCACACGCATATCCGACGTATCCGCCCGTTGCAATATCCGAATGCGTAATTCGTGTCCGTTAACTATCACGATACCGGATGTTTATAGTGTAACTATATATAAAGCTATCTTTAGGTAAACTTTACCCTTCAATGTTTGCATAGGTTTCGTAATCACAACTTAAATATCAACATAGCTTGCATCCCTTTGTGTCGATATAGCGTGAGTATTATTTGTCAATTTGAAAGTTAATTACTCTCAATTTATTACAGTTATAAACACTTTGTGTGTTCTGGCATTGATTTCCGAAAGTAATTTTTACCTGAAGGTTTGTTAGTAAGAGTTTTTTTACCTAATTATCGCATTAATATTATTAGTTAAAAGAATGGTTTTGTGACAAGACAGTTTTTAACAGAAGGTAATTTAACATTATATGTTTAACTACTAAATTAAGTTAGTGCGTCTTATTTTATACCTCATTATGATTAAAATCCACTTACCTGACATTTTAGAAATTCAAAACAAACATAAAAACAATTAAATTGTAGTTTTGTTCAACTTTTTCACTTATAAAAGAAAAAACATGATAATTCCTTTAAAACAAATGACAAACGTAGTTTAATTTTGTTGTCCTTTGTATATTGCGGATACAACTTAAGTCGTTGCCACGTTACGTCTCTATGCGACATTTTGCGTTTCAATAATATCACAATAAAATAATATCTTTATTTTTATTACGGACAGCAGCTGACATCTGTTGCTTAGCAACCAAATTTAACGCGGTTGTTGCTAGAAACAACAGTCTAAACATAAAATAAGTGATTCAAATACATTTTAGGTCAAATATGCGTCAACCCTTTTATATCGTGACACAAATCATGGCTTTTAAAACATTATCTTCTACGTTCTTACGGTGAATGAAAACATCGTGATATATCGTATATATCTGCACATATCGGAGAAGACACTCAAAGATTTATGTGAAGTCAACCCGCAGCGCAGCGTAGTTGACTATGGTCTAATCACCAAGTGTAGGTTCCGAGCCAGTGGGGACGTATAGCGAGCTTGTGATTATTGTTGTATAAATAAAACGCAGTAAAGTATTAATACTATCATTTAATAAATATATAATAATAAATATTCATAATACCCGACAACATATTCATGGCGATATAACGCCTCAAAAATACTGAACAAAGCTCAACATAAATATATTTTGATACCAATAAAACTACACTTATAATTAAACACCGTTCATTTTTATTTCTTATTAAAGTTTAATATTTACAAACAGCAATAAACAAGAGTAGTAAAATAAAAAAAAAGTCAAAAGTCAAGATATAAAATTGTCCACTATCAATTATAAAGTATTGGTTTGTTTTTAAAACAAATTAAAAGCAATATAAATATTCAATCATTAATATTACGATAAATGTGATAAAATATCTAATTAATAAAAATCCAAATTAACTACTACTCGAACCTGAAAACAATTCGAAAATAATTTTATAATAAAAAAACAGAAACGTAGTAGATAAATTATTCAATCGTCATTTTAATGATGATGTTTTCCGATTGTTATTGCAAAATATCTATTAAACCTAATGTTCTTTTTTCAAATATTCGTAACACAACGTACTTGGTTTATATTTTTTACATAAAGAGATATCGATAAAGATATAATGAGAAATATACAACAATACATATAGAGTATTTAAACATTTAAAGATTCACAATTATTTACAAACAGTAGAATTATTAAACAGTAGAAGAAAAACTATTAAAAACGCGTACAGACGTCAGGTGACCAGCCAGCAAAGAGGAGAATGATTTCATGTTCTACATTTCTATTCTATTTTACCACAGTTCAAGCTAATCAGTAGGATATGGTTTGTTTCTAGGATACACAATATATCATAACAATTACATGCATAGAGAAACTTACATTACATTTAGAGATCAAACTTTTAGGTAAAGAACAAAGAATAGTTTTGTTAATTAAGGAGAAATAGAGACGGATATAGAAAAAGACGGACGTAGACTTTAAAAACATAAATACAAATGTAATTAATAATGTGTTAAAAAAATAAAAATAAGTTAAAGATATGATTAAAATAATAGACAAATTACAACAAAAATTTTCCCTTCATGTAGAAAATAAATACGTTCTTGAATACTGTGTTAGTAAAGATATTCTGACTAGAACATTACACAAGTATTCGCAACTAAATAAAAGATTCATTTTACGCACATTTTTGGATATGCTCTTTTAACTAACAACTACATTGGTGTTAAAAAATTTTCAACAACAGTCAATATCTATTCAATTCCATACAAAAAAATCCTCAATTCACGATACAACAACATCTCCATTCACTTTTAACAACAATGAGAAGAGCTGGTGCATATCGTTGACTAAACTGTCGCACAACCGTTGTGTGATTGTCGATTGTTTCGCAGGTCATTCAACTGTTTAGTTGTACAAGCTCATAGGTATCAAAGCGAGGCTAAACAGTTATGCGATAGTTGAGACAAAGGTGCGCGCTCTTAATATTTTTATCCCAACAGGATTATGGTTGGTCTCCGTCGGTATAATGCGAAGGTCCTTCCCCGGAGCAAACGGAGTCCTCTGGTGTTCTAGAAGCGTCGCCAGCCTCGCTCGCCTCCGCCATACTAGCGCTCGCGCCCGATTTGTTCTTCCCTCCACGACGCGCTTGCAGAGCCTGTAGATAAGGCGTATAAACGTTTGTGAGACATTCTTGTAAACTAATAAAGGCCACACTCACGTATAGTTCGTGAGGATAGCCTTTTAAAATTAGTTTTTGATATACAGGTGTTTAAAATTTCGAATATTTTTTTTAAGTAAAGTTACGTTATTATTTAAATATTTTAACTAATTACGTATTTTACAGATTTAACAAGGATCTAAGCAATATCGAACAAATAGCTGACGAAACAGTAACACAAGAACTGAAGAAATAAAACGATATTTTTAGTGTCATTTAAAATATTTGAAATGTTTGTACGGGCCTGTCTTTACATAACAAAGTAACAAGGAAAGCATACAAAGGCGGGGCGGGGGCGGGGGTAGACCGGGCAGTGCGGGGCAGGGCGGTGCTGCGCCGGGAGGGTATGTTGGGGCATGCGGGGCCACATTTCTTCACATGCGGTACATTTTACACCATCCTTACCTTTTCTCGGCTGCCTTTTTTCTAAAGTCGGAGGAGGATGGAATATGAAACATTTGATTAATGAAAATGAAGTTAACATCGATACAGAGGGCTCCAGGTTTACGGTAAAATTAGTTAAGTTTCACGTCGAATAATAGATAAGGGGGGAAATTGTCTATTCATAGTTTCTTTGGGTCACACTACTACATACTATACAATTAATAAAATGTTGTTTCTTGAATCAAGGAGAAGAACTAAACTGGACAACTACAAGAAGAGATAACACATTTTTTTCAGTAATTTAAGGATACTTTTCAAATAGAATGACTTTAAATCATACCTTTTGATTACTTAAACATCACTACAGTACATAGACAAGTAATTACATAAGGAAATAGATTGTATCTGATGGTATCTTTTTTCAGTGATTGTGTAATGACATTGCATTCATTTATAAGTTAATGTAATTATTTATAACATAAGCGTGTTTTATTTACATACATTTATTTTTACTTTAGCAGTAAGTAATAAAAATATAACGTAATAATATCTACAATTAATATGGCTGCAATATTTCAGTTATCCTTACACCCGTATCTTTACAATCTACCGCACTCAAACTTAACACGATCACTATAGCAACTTTAGTGTATATTTCGCATACGAAATCTACACTGAGAGATCCTTTTAGTGAATGCTCAGGGCTTTTGCGGTAGGTCTCGTGGTCGGTGCACATACTTGCAGCGAGAAGCGCCTGTGCGGCGGTTTCCTGCCGCCGCG